CCAAGAGGAGGAGAAAATTAATGCAGCCCCAGCAATAAAGCCGACCTGCCTGCATCCAGTGTCATGGGAATCCAGGCCAGCGGGGGCTGGAAAGGCTTGGCACGCTGTCCTGCCAGCATGACTGGGTGTCTTGGCAGCGTGGCTCTCCAAAGAGTATCTAATCTGTTAGTCGCTGATAAGAGTGGTTAGCTTTGCAAAGCCCAGGGGATAGCTTTACACAGAGTCTGGCTCTGTAATTGTTTTTATGCAGTTTCCTAAAATCTAGGGTATGGGCTTTTTGCAAAATGGCCTGTGCTTGTGTATATGAGCTGGGGTTTAGACTTGTCAAGTGTTTTGATATGTCCCATGTAGGTTCGTATGCAGGCATCACACCCATCTTTCTTGTCTCTGTTTCAGCCTCTGGGTCCTTCCAAGCATGGCTTTTCTTCTCCTGTGTGTTTCTGACAGCGTGCCCTTCCCGCATAGCATGTTAGTGAGGTTATTTTATATCTGCTGGATATGTTCTTATTCCTCCAGGTAACGTCTGCAAATTGATTGCAGTGTTAGATTTCCATTCAGAGCACACCTTTGAAATGAATGCCCATCACAAGAGACGTTTCGTGCAAAAGCCTCTGGCTTGGATATTTTAAGCAAGATGCCTAATCAGAACATTTCATGGCTGGTGGAGCATGTAGAGGGGTATTTCTCTCTGCTGGATCTCCTTCCCTAGCTTTGCCAAGTTTTTGCCCCAGCTTTGCCTGCTAAGCCATTTGAGAAGAGGGCATCTTTCTGTTACCTTGGTATCGGTGGGGTGGTTGCTGGATTTGCAGCAGTCCCAGAGAGATTTCCTTGGGAGAAGGAGCATTAGGGGGTTAAATACTAGAAAGTTAGGCCGGGTGGGTTTCCTTGCTTCTTGAAGGTGTGATTTTTCAAAGGAAAAGGTGACAGCTGAAGGTGAAAAAAGCAAAACCAAGGGGAAGGTAAAGAAAGCAAAACCAAGGGTAGGAGTTATCTCTTAAGTTGTTCATTTCTTAAGTTCATGTCACTAAACAGTTAAGTGCAAAGCTCTTGCACAGAGCAGTGTTTGCACAGGAAAAAACCCAAACACAACAAACCAAGTAAGAGCTCGGTGCCCCAGCGGTTGGTAGCCCAGACAAGCTTTCTCCTGAACAACTCCAGCCCAGCAAGCACACAATGGATGTGGACCGTTATCATGTCACCTAGGAGAATAGCTGCCCCCCCGCCCCAAAACATTCTCCATACTAATGTATTTTCCAATGAGTTAATTACGTGCTCATCAATTTGTTGCACTTGATCCCAGATAAATGGGATGAATGGGACCATTTTGGTTTGACATCGCTTCAGTTGCCTCTCTGTGACAGTAACATGAACTCATTTGAAGCCATGTGTTCTGTCCCAGATGCTTTCCTTTGATGTTGCAGAGATAATATGGAAAAGTAATCTGCAGGTGCTTTATTAACTCTCGGTGCGACACTCATATTTTAACTTGGTGCCAGTCCAGCCTCCTCAGTGCTGAAAGCATTTTGTTTCAGTTGTTTAAATTCCTTCCACTGAGAGTATTTAACTTGCCTTATTTGGATAAAATTTT